GTGTGTGTGTGTGTGTGTGTGTGTGTGTGTGTGTGTGTGTCTGTGTGTGTGTGAGAAAACACACACACAGACACTCACACTCACACACGCGCGTACACACTACCTGCCGCGTAGTATACAATCTTGTTTGCTAAGAATACTTGCCGACCAGCACCTAGTTTAGAGAACAAATCGACTTGGTGACGACTGGTACCAGCCGACGCTTACGTAGCCGCAAGGTGCTTAGTTCACGACGCGTCCCCAAATTCACACCGACAGCGAAAGAGCAACCGCGTTCGAGAGAGAGAGAGAGAGAGAGAGAGAGAGAGAGAGAGAGAGAGCTAGAAAAAGAGAAGGCGGAGAATGACAGAGGTGGGGACATGACCTAGATGATATAGGGTAAGTGTAATTTGTCAGCCCGAAGCGCTATGTCGCAGCGGTTTTGGTTTTCAACAATAGCGAATACACCTGCGTCAGTTTTACGTCGCTAGCTCGTGTGTTCTTAGGTAGAAACACGCGGTTAGGGGGCGTGGGATTTAGGGATTAAGGGGTTTGGGGGTAGGGAGTTAGGGATTAAGGGGTTTGGGGGTAGGGAGTTAGGGATTAAGGGGTTTGGGGGTAGGGAGTTAGGGGGAGAGAGAGAGAGGGAGAAAGGGGTAGAGCGAGAAGTAGATAGCGAGAGGTAGAATGATACAGAGACAGGGAAAAGGAAAGAGAGAAATAGCACGCGAGAGGGAGAACCTTGCGAGAGGGGGAGAGAGAGTGAGCAAGAGTGGTAGTGCGAGAAAGCGCTCGCGCACGCGCGAGAGAGAGGGGGCTGAGAGAGGGGGAGAGAGAGGGGGAGTCAGAGAGCAAGAATGATAACGGACACGATTGAGAGATGTGTGCGCGTGAGTACGCGCGGGTGTGTGTGTGTGTGTGTGTGTGTGTGTGTGTGTGTGTGTGTGTGTGTGTGTGTGTGTGTGTGTGTGTGGTGTGTGTGTTTGTGTATTCGTGTGCATGTGTGCATGTGTGATGTGTGTGTGTGTGTGTGTGTGTGTTTGTGTGTGTGTGGTCGTCGTGGTCGTCGTCGTGGGCGTGGTCGTCGTGGTCGTCGTGGTGGTCGTCGTCGTCGTCGTCGTGGTGATGGTCGTCGTCGTCGTGGTGGTGGTCGTCGTCGTCGTCGTCGTGGTCGTCGTCGTCGTGGTCGTCGTCGTCGTGG